GTATTTTAGCTGGAATTGTATCGTATGTCACTTTTCGATTCGATTTAAACAAAATGTATTTAGTAGAATTGGCCCCCAGTATTTTTTACATAGGTACCGTCAATTTAGGACTCCTTTTCGCTGATAACAATGGGCGCGGGAAAATGCACAAGCGTTCCACTTCTTATTACACAAGCAATTTATTTTCCGAAGTCGCTTATAAAATGAGCCAGAGTGGACTTTAACCTTATCTTGCAGACTGTCGACTTGTTGACTTCATCAAAAATAAACATTGCATATAATAATATAAGTTATTATTTGCTTTCTCACGTAAATACTGTATTTTGAATTTTTGTTGCGTACAATTAGTGATACATATATTCTACATGAATTCCAATGTTTATTCTTACATGTGTTATCTTATTTATGTATGTCTTATTTATTTAGTTTTATTCATCTCGATTCTCATTTGGCCGTGACTGTGAGATAAAAGCGCCATTTAATGGCGAAGACGGAGATCTCAATCTAGTAGCTAACAGATATCTACTAAAACCGAAATATCAGTACTAATATTATAGAGAGGTAGTTTCTTTGTTTGTTTGTTTAAGATGTTATGGAAAATACTGATCCGATTATGAAAATTATTTCACATGTGAAGCTTCACCATACGCGGGTAAACAGCTAGCATGTGTCACTACATAGTATCAAACAAAGTTGCTTTCTTTGTCCCTATATACATATGTATGCTTAAATCTTTACGACTTTTGTGCGATTTTTTTCATAGGGTCATTCAAAAGGAGTGTTTCTATGTATAATACAAAACCACGCGGGCGAAGCCGTTGGCGGTAAGCTAGTGTACCTACCTATATGAATCCTATTTCTTTGGCAATGGGCTATAATAGAAACACAGGAACTGAGCTTCCTTACAGGCATATTACTAGACGACTTATGATTGTTATTGCATACATTGAAAAATAGATATATAGTTTGGTACATTATAAGAATTAAAGCCTCTCAGATCACCACGCAAATTATTTCCTAGCTCTAGCTCATAGCGAATTTATATTTTTTTATTTGAAAAATTTAGATAAATAGTTGTCTGTGGCGTGAATCGAAAAGGATTTCAGTGCCCTATAATACCTATAATATCTTAACAAAGGTACCTAATATTTAAACAATGTCTTTAATTTTGTACGCTTTGTCGAGCAGAGCAGTTGTGACGTCACAATTCCACGTTTCTCTTCCTCTATCAGAATGTCATTGAAAACAATAACAATAGTATCTAAATTAACTTTTTAGAGGAAGTGAACATTTAGTGTTCTGAGATTCTGTTTACAACACCTGGACCTATGCCAGGCATTACTAATCTACTTATGCCCCCTTAGTGACAGCGTTAGTTAGGTATAGTATTATCTTTGTCGATATCTAACGTATAGATATAGCTACAGTTTATCACTTATATTCTTAACAAAGTTCCAGCAGTGTCGGATTTTCCTTAAGGCCACTGTAGGCTTGGACCTACAGCGGCCAGATACTTGGCGGACAAGAATATTATAAAATATTGTGTGTCAAAAGCTGGGTGATGAATTGCCGGGTAAGGTTCTATCTTTAGGTACTTATTTATCCAAGACAAAATCATAAATTAATACAGATATACTGAGCTGAGATAGAAATAGGGATAAAATAGCGTTATTTCATTTTCATTTCGAATTATTTTCATAGAATAACTGTTAGCATTATTCATATGTTTATTGTGACAGATGCAATGTAATCCTATTGTATATTAAAAGATGTAGCAAAGAGAGATTATATTATTTTATAAATGAATTAAAAAAAAAAAATATTAGACAGCACCACATACATTGCTCAGATTCCAAGATGAGTAGCTATAGCCTCCGTATTGTGAAGTAAGTACACCCAGCCCCGAGACAATATAGAAAAGTTAATTCTCTACAATGAATTCTCGACCGGGAATCGAAACCGGGACCTCAGAGATGGTGACACCTTGAAACCGGCGTGCAAATCACTCGTCTACAAAGGTTTTATCACGACAAAAACACAAAAGAGTTTTATAATCTATTCCAATAATTTTATTACATTAATATGGATATTATAACGATTTGAAAAATTTAAACAAGTCGTTAAATTTCTTTGCTAAACAATTTTTTCATGCATATTCAAGAAAAATAGAACTTAAAACTTTCCTGAAAATGTGGTTATTTATAATCTACAAACATATCATCTTAGGAGAGGCATTGATTGAATTATGTGATCGAGAAATATTACGTAATAGTCTACGTAATGGAAAATGTTAACTGTCGTTAAGCTGTTAGCAAAATTGAATAATATTTATCCTATCAGTTATTATTGGTTGTTATATTTTGCATTTGTATAAATATTTTCATATGAGTATGAGCTTGTGGCATATTATTCCTTAATGATAGAAAAAATTAGAAAGAACAAACAATCACCCACGGCTCAGGACTATAGTACTATTCTGTAAAAAAAATCGATGACGACCACGTCCGCATAACGCTGTAACAGTATAAAGGTTCAATCAAATAATACCTCCTTCAAACAGTAATAAAGGTTTTATTGAACTTCTGTTGCAGCGCTGTGGTCGACGTTAAGTTTGAGGCAGATTTTTTACAGCATAGCATAATAGTGCCGCATCTGCAGTCGTTAACACCCACCAATCCGCACTGGACCCGCGTGGTGGGTCAAGGCCCATTGTCCCTATTCTATTTGATTCGATTACATCCATAGCCTGAGCCTGAGTAGGAATTGGAATAAAACCCTTCATCGTGTTCTTTTCTGCACAGGCAGTTCGGAGTGGAAGGACAAGTATCAGTGTACGACTGACAAAATAAGTTGGGACCAATGATTTATCATTGTAAAGTACGAAACAGCTCATTAAATTCTTAGACACTCATCCAAATAGCCCGTACATTACAATACTTTTTGAAATAACCTTCGTAATAGCAATCTGAATCACCGCGTTATCGAACTCGAAACGCCTACATTTAGATAAAATGAGTATCAGAAATTCAGTTTAGATTAGATTTTAATCTACTATATCATGGTGACTTATCATTGAGTATTTTTTATATGGTCTAAGTATATTAACGTGACCAACTGATTATCTTTACGAATCTAAATCTCTTTGTCGCTAACCATAGTAAATAAATGTGTCTTGCATTTGGAAATAGACCAAAGAAACCTTAAAAAAGTAGAACAACTGTAGAATATGTAGTAGGCAAGAAATGACCGTTTTTAATTAAAGAAGTTTCGTCGAATTAAATTTTGCCTATTCCTATGTAGGTAAAAATTAAATATTATTATGAAATAATCTACATTACAGCTTAAAGACGTTATTTAACCTTATATGAGTGTTTGTGCAACTGACCGTAATAGAAACAAAAGTATTTTGAAATCTAAAATAAAAAAGATTGTAAATCCATATTCATAGATAGGAAAGCTAATCTCATTGCTAAAATTAGAATGACTGATAATTCCCGTTTCTGCATGAAAATTAAGACCAATATTATAAAACTCTATCGATCTATATATATAAAATGCTTTGTGTGAATTCACTGACTTCACAACCTAAACCGATGATCTTTGAGACCTGAAACATAGAGGGTGTGTTCTTTGTGTGAGGTAGGCATCAGATAAGAAAGGAGCTTCCGAATACTTTTTCTAAAAAAAAAAGTAAAAAGAAATAAGTTCAAATTGTAAAACAAAAATGTATTCTTTTTTTTTCAAATTATATTTTTATAAGACAACGTCTTTAGTACTTTTATATAAAAAAAAAATCTCGTCATCATTCAAACTTAAAATTTAATTAGTAAATAAATAATTGAATTAATGAATACTTTAAAAAAATATTTTTCCTTATTATACGATATATCAAGATTGTTAAACTAATGTCGTCTGTGACTTATTTATTATTGAATGAATTAATACTTAAAAGTATATATTTTTCCTTATCATATATCATAATTGTCAAACTTATGTCGTCTGTGACTTATTTATTATTTGTTGATACTATGCATTTATCAATGTTATTGTAGACATCGATAGAAATCAGTAGTAGTCAACAAAAATTGCAGGCAAATGAAATTGAGTTATTTTATCTACAGGTAGAATTTACTTACGCTAGCAAACTTATATTTTCAATTAATCCAAATTTAGAATTATTGGACAGTTTTAAGACAGTCTGAGGAGAGAGTCTCTCTTTAATGACAGTAACTCTGCTATTTTATCTATTCTTAGATAAGAAATCAACTAAATTTATACAATTAAGGTGTAATATGATTATGTGAGATGATTTCGTGGGTTGCATGAGTTAAATATACTGAACAACTTTTTGTATGGGAGCAACACTGAATTCATGAAAAAATAATTATATATAACTCATCCAACCCACATAATAATATTACACCCACAGAAATATATCTTTTCTGTGATTACACCTTATTATTAAGTTGAAGAGTTCGTTTGTTTATTTGGTTGAATGCGCTTATCTCGAAAGTACTGATTCGAATTGAAAAAATATTTTTCATAATAGTCCATTTATTCAGAAAGGGTGTACCTATAGGCTACAAACATTATGCTGGAGAAGCAATGAAATAGGTTGCAAAAACGGGAATACTAAGTGCGAAAAACTACTGGCGGAAGGTTCATCACCAACCTATTAATTTCCACACTGTTTGGGCTCAGGCATCTCCTATGCCACGCGGGCCCAGTGAGAATTTGTGGGTGTTAATGGCTGAAGATGCAACCTAGACGAACGGCTTAACGTGCCTTCCGAAGCACGAAGGAATTCTAGATAATAATTTTTGGTCACCCATCCTGTGACGCCATCGCGAGAGTTGCTGAAAAATCGGTCACAGACCGAACGCGCTCATTATTGCGCTATTGAGCTCCTCGGCGAAAAGTTAGTTTCAAATAAATAAGTAAGAAGTTTTAATTTTTCTTTTAGGTATTATGGGCCAGCTGACTATTAGGTGACCACAATAATGCCGGTACTACACAACGCTGAAAATCCCGCCTCTAGGGTGACAAATTCTGTTGCCACGAGATACGTAGTAGCAGTTCTTGCTGCTTGGGCGGCGGAAACAGGTAAGAGTAAAGTATTTTTTACCGATTAATGTTATCCCCATGTCTGCGAACCTAAAATCTAATAGATGATAATCATCATCAACCTATTATGTCCCACTGCTGGTGCTCGGCCTACCCTATAGATGGAATCAAATTAAATCGAAATAGGAGCATGGGCCGTGACCCACCACGCGGATTGTATGAACTACTGCAGACGTAGCCGGAATCTGACCATTGGGAAAGATGCTCAACAGCCGTATCGCAGACCAAGAGCGGTAGCCGCTGCGCCATCGAGCTCCTTATAGTGTAGAAATCATATTGCTGTTTTTTTTTACATTGCAGTTACATACCCATTCGATCTGACGAAAACGAGACTTCAAATTCAAAGCGAGGTAGCGGCAGCAAAACATGGCTTTAAGGTAAATAGAATTCATCATCATCATATTCATCAGCCCTTTTACGTCCCCATTGCAGGGGCTCAGGCATTCCTCATGGATGGTTAAGGAGGACGGGCCATGACCCTCCACGCTGGCCCAATGCGGATTGGAGGGTATTAACGACTGCAAATGCAGCCGGGACCAACGGCTTAACGTGCCTTCCGAAGCACGAAGTAGCTAAAGATAATAATTTTTTGGTCACCCATCCCGTGACCGACCCTTACGAAAGTTGCTTGACGTTAACAATCGCAGGCCGCGGCGCTTATCCACTACGCCACCGAGCTTAAATGGAATTAGTTTAGATCAATACACAGATTGGTTAAGACCAGCAATGCTATTTAGAAATAAATCAGCCTTGGAAACCTAATTCAATAGATAATAAATTTTATATTATTGCATCATTATGTTGTAACCACAGAACCGTGACAGCGATGTGCTAGAAGTCGAGTTTGAAGCTCAATTCATTACAGCATAGGCCTAATTTTTACGTCATTATAGTATCTCAATAGAATCTCAACGACTTTTATTTTGGCGCTGTAATAGGTAGGTAGGTAGACCTAAAGTCCTAAATTATTAGTGCAATGTTTTCGTCACATATCAATTGTGACAGATATATTAATACTAGTTTTCGCCAGCGGCTTCGCCCGCGTGGACCCTAGGGAAATGTTTAGTGGGATAAAAAGTATCCTATTATCTAAGTCAGCTAACACCCTATCTGTATACCAAATTTCATCAAAATCCGTTCAGAAGTTTCGGCGTGATTGACGTACAGACATCCAAACATCCAAATATCTAAACATCCAAACAAAGAAACTTTCACATTTATAATATTAATAGGATAGGATTACACTTGAGGTTTATTACTACGTAAACATTTATAGTCCGCTGAGCTTTTCCGTCTTGTCATTTACAAAAATGTTTATGCAACGGCATAAACATTTTCGTAAATGTCAAGTTTTAAGCGAAAAGAAGTTTGACCGTAAAGAAGTAAAATTGCTGTACTCCAGATCATTCATCATATGAGTTAAAATATCATCAAATTTTTGGTGCGTTTTACCAATTTAAAATATTGGACCTTAAAAATAATATTTTCGAAGGTTCTCTTTTCTACTTTGAGGTGAGAAGCCCTTTTCACCGCGAGGCCGTACCCTTACGCCACCTCTGGTTACGACAGAATTATACGAATTGAAATTTTAACCATTTCCAATAATTGCTCATCTAGTCGTCCATGTCCTCAATCAAATGCATCTTAATGGCATTTCTATTAATTGCATTTTGCCACTGATATATTTACTTGTACCTTAATATTATTAGTAGAACGGAGCAAGCCTCCTGCTAATAAATCAATGTTTTTTTTTCATTATTTTCTGATCTAGTAACAACCACTATCAAAAAATTTAATTTTGTAACTCCATTTATTGACACGCTTTAATTATGTTAATATTTTTAAATCGTGTGTGATGTTCAGAATGATATTTTATCTGGTACTGTTATGGAATACAATAACTAAATTAATGGAGCAATTACATAATTTGGTAATAATTTAAATTAATATGTACCAATATAATATGTACAATATCATTTGCAGAAATATCGTATCGTGATGTTATTAAAACTAGGGTAATTTTCATAAATAACAAAAATGAAACCATCTTATCAGAATACTAGCACTATCTCTTGACATTACCAATGAATCTGTGACGTTCAACTCATAGTTAACGGAATTTATGGACTTTACAATAAATTGAGTATATTTTCTCAGGTAGAAAATATAGGCATGATCAAAACAGCGGTGGGTATAGCCAAGCAGGAGGGTGTACTCAAATTGTGGACCGGACTGATGCCAATGTTCCAGAGGCACGTCATATACTCTGGATGCAGGCTAATCTTCTACGAAAAGCTCAGGGACGCGTTGAAGGACAAAAATGGCAAGGTGTCACTGGCGTCTGCATCATTTGGTAAGTTAATTGAATTTGAAATCTTCGTTGACTCTAAAGCAAAAATGCAAAGCTCAAAATAAAGCTTTGAGTGATCTGCAAGGTTGACAGATCAATTGTCAGCCTGATAGATCATATTGACAGATCAATATGGGCTTCAGTTAGACGGTAGCGCTGTAAGTAACTTAAAGTTATCGATTCTGTAGGCAAATTTCTTGCTTTAGCGAAAATTTAGGTTACTTCTGATGATGTAAAGTATGGAATCTATGCCACTGCTGGGGCACTAACCATCCCTATCGATAAAATCAAATAGGGAGAATGGGTCACTCGCCCAGTTCGGATTGGTGTTTACGACTGCAGATGCAGCAGGGACTAACGGCTTGATATGCCTTTTGAATAATGGTTCTAACTCAAAATAATAAATTTTGGATCACCCAACTTATTTCCGAAAATTGCTTTACTTTCTTCTACTAAACCTTTTATGCGTTTAATTTTAACCATTCATGCATGCACATTGCGCCTTAAGAAGCTAAGATTTCTTACTACCAAATATTATCCTAAAGAGATAAAAATACAAAAATACAAGCTAAAAGAAATATCTTTATCTGCGAAGCAAACATTACACAGTAATAAATATTTCTTATGTACAGGCTTAATATCAGTGATGTAGTAAAGGAGCCTTCTATTTTACTTTTATGCCATAACCCGTAACCGTTATGTCTCTTATTGTTCTTCGTCATATATAACGTTCTAATAATAAAGTTATTGTTGGGTAAAAAAAAAATAAAAAAAATAAACAATTATTTTCATGTTCCCTAAGTGCGTATCCACAATCACATCTCGGTCACCTGAAGCTATCGACTTTTTCCAAGTATTTTTGTACATATATGATAAAGATAAATATAACATAAAAAACACCAAAACAGAGGAGTTATCCAGGCATCAGATTTATTTAAATGTTTCCTAATTTTTCTGTGTAAATTGGAAATATAATTGGACACGATATGTTTCCCTACTAACGTTGTGTGTACATTAATAGATAATAATGTAAATTTTGGGTCGCACATAAAGTAGCAATGTAACAAATCACAAAGTTCCACAGGTGGATTGGTGGCCGGCTCCTTGGCACAGCTGATCGCTTCACCCACTGACTTGGTGAAGGTGCAGATGCAGGCCGAAGGGCGCAAAGTTTTACAGGGTAAACCTTTGAGGTTCAAAACCTGCAGCCAGGCGTACGCTGTTCTTTATTCTGAAGGAGGGCTCAAAGGATTCTGGAGAGGTAAATAAATATTACAGTTCAGGCACATAATTTGGTTTTTCAAATGGATGCAGGACTTCCATAGATAATATCTTCTTAAATAAACAAAGTGATAAAATTTGCTCCTCTCTCTTTTAATATATTTGACAAAATAATATCTGTAGACTTGTTTTTAAAAAAAGTCGAGATGTTAAAAATGTCGTGTAGACCTCGTCTTGTAAACTTAATAGAGTAATAGTATTAACTTTAAATGTTGTTCTTGCTAGTTGTACATGGCAGGAACATAGAACAATTTAGTTTTTAATCGAGTTATTTTGACGTATTAAATACAAATCCAATTGACTTTATATAGACAAAAGAATTGTTTATTTAGGATTTGTATTGTTCCGCTTGGTTCCGTTAGATAATAATATTCACCGCAATTTTTTTTAGCGATAATTTTATAGAATTTATGTCAAATGTTTGCCATTTGTGAACTAACAGAAGAAATTTAAAAGTTTAAAACTCACGGACAGATCAGAGTCGATGTCATATTCTTCTAGGATATATGATTATATCATCATCATCAGCCCTTTTACGTCCCTACTGCAGGGGCTCAGGACTATCATATCATCATCATCATCCTCATCATAAGCAGCCCATTTACGTCCCCATTGCAGGGGCTCAGGCATTCCGTATGGATGGTTAAGGAGGCTGGACCATGACCCTCAACGTTGGCCCAATGCGGGTTGGAGAGTATTAACGTCTGCAAATGCAGCCGGAACCAACGGCTTAACGTACCTTCCGAACCACGGAGTGACTCGAGATAATATTTTTTTTTGGTCACCCGTCCCGTGACTGACCCTTGCGAAAGTTGCTTAACGACATCGATCGCGGCCCGCTCGCTAGGATATCGCAAATAATTAGTTTTTATACTCTTTTATAGAATTTGGGGAAATCCAAACGAATGGTGATCCTACACATGACTTTGTGATTTATTTTAAAGCGACATAAAATTGGATTGCTTTAGGTGCCGTGCCAAATGTACAACGGGCCGCGTTAGTGAACATGGGAGACTTGGCAGCATACGATTACTCCAAGCAGTTTCTAATACGCGAGTTCGGTATGGCTGACAACGCGTTGGTGCACGCGGTGGCGGCTTTCTCGGCCGGATTCGTTGCTGCGGTATTGGGTATGCCAGCTGACGTCATGAAGACCAGGCTGATGAATCAACCCGTTGGACCGGATGGAAGGTAAAGGGTACACTATTACTAATAAGTAAGAGGTCATTGTTACTTTTAATTAACTTGTACTTTTATAGTGTTATTAATAAACAAGGTTTCGCTTGGAGTGAATTTATGCTGAGACTGCACTTATTAAAAATTCATATTATTAAACGGAGACTTAGCCAAGGTAGCCAAGTAAGCTAGTACGAGGTTCTATGGTAGTAATATTAACTCCTTGAAGGGTTGCTTATTCTCTGTATAATATGAATTTGGACTAATATTAAAATGGCAATTTAAGCGTAAATTTACTCTGACGCTTAATCATGCTTATTAGGGTATAATGCTAATGCTTTTGAAAGAAACGCAAAACACGACTCACAGGGGCCGAAACAAATTGAACAATCAAAATTCAAATGTATTGCTTATTTATCCCCACCATCCTTGTGGCTGATATATATGTATGAAGTTGATAAGTAGTTAATGAAATTGTTAACTTAATTTGAAAGGACTGAATTTTTTATTCGCTGGTTTGTACGGAGTTAATTTGTAAGTACTAAACATAGTTTTAAGTGATTGAGTACGTGAACACAGAAAAGGTGTGAAAAATTAAGTCAACAATTTAGTTAACTAGATACTTATTGCTTTACACGCTTGGTGGTGCAGTGGTTAGCGCTTTTGGTCTGCAAAACACTGGTCTAAAAACTTTTGCAAAAGCCGAAAATTTAACATTTCGAAGTCTCCCTTGCTTCGGAAGGGCCCATTAAACGGTTGATCCTTGTTGAATCTGCATTCGTTGGATTGGACCAATTAGATTGGACGCAATGGTTCCACTTGGTTATCGCCGGTTCTCGATATTTGATTGCTATGTAGTGTAGTGGGGTTATTAATAAGATGATGATGATATACCTTAAGTATTATTTATGAAAAAAATATCTCAAACAGACAAGAATAAAACTTCCACGTTCTATAAATAAATACAGCCGTAAAAAACAATGAGGTGATATTTTTCCGTGAATGGTTCGAAGGTGAAACTTATGAAAAATTATAATCGACACATGACGTTAGTGGCATTCAGTAGGGATGACGACTGGGTAAAAAAAAATAATTAATTTTGTCCGTCAGTTAGATAAAAGAAAAATATTAGATAAGTATATATTTTTTTGCTTCAATTTAAAAAGGAAATGGCTTCGATAATAGGCATTCAAGTTGCGGAGTGGGGGTTCTCTACATCACAGTTTTGTAGAAAATGTACAAAAACGTGACGTCATGCGATATTTAAACTCAAGGTATCTCCGTAATTAATTGATTAAGAAAAATAAAAATTACGTATTTAATATTCTTCAGTAATATATACGGACAAACATATAAAAATTAGTCGACATCCCTATTATGTTCAATTTGAATTCATTGTCGTGTTTATGTACTCAAATTTCAGTGAGTCTGTTATCGTAGTAAAAAATATAATTGTCTGGCAGTATCACAAAAAAGAGGTTTTTTATTCTTCTTCAGTACAAATTACATGGAAAAAGTTTTTACGATATCTGTGATTACTAGTACTCATATCTTAATTAAACATCCGTTATTTTGACCCCTACGTGAAAAAGTATCGACTAGCATATATATTTTTTGTATTTTAGCATTCTTTTGCTGATTGTACGCATTATTTTATTTATTTTTAAACGCAGTAATCCAAAAGACATGTATAACCCGCTTAACTTACGAATGCGATATTATAAAAAACTTTGGATATACTCCTAGGTCTATTTTGATGTACTTTACTATAATGGTCAAGGTTTCAATACCTTAAATCATCTTTATACGTTTATATAATAGAAAAATGATGGCGCAATAAAACTTGGTTGCCTGTACGAGTTGATTATGGCTAGGTTAGGGTGAGACTGTACGTTATCTCTACTTATAGGGTGTCGCAATCGGCGGGTGGTAAAATCAATATCCCTTTGACATCCCTCTTTAAAACTGTAATCAAACAAACCTTTTTGGGTGTTAACATACGTAAAGCAGATACTTTTCTAATTATGAATTAATACTAGGTACTACAACTTTGACTATAATCTCAGTGTGAAAGTATATTTCCAATTTCCATTCGGCCGCACATGGGAACTGAGTTTCACAACTATATATGACAAATATTTTTTATTCTTTTTAGCGTCTTTCCTTTGTAGATTATGTCTATATAATAAATGAATTCATTTTATTTTCACGCTATATGCTAATGTAACTAGTCTTCATTAAAATTAAAATTCCTTATTCGCAACTTGTAAAACTTAGCTTCCATGGTGGCTGAAAGGATATCGTTCCCAAACTATCATATTAGGTTTACTTCTCCTATAGATTATACGATTGGGAGGGTTGACATAATCAATAAACGTAATCCACTGTATTAATATTTCAATCAGTCAACGTGATAATGGCGTTTATGACAGAATAAATATCTCTTACAGAAAAATGCTTAAAATATCACCAGTCCCAGATTTCCGAGATACAACATAGCATTGTAAAAGCAAAATTGATAATTTTTTTTTCTTTAAAATATATAATTAGTTAGGTATAGGTAGAAGATAGGTAGAAACTATACAGAAATAGACTTAAACATTGACCGTATTATTATAAAACAAAGACTAAAATCAGTTCTTGGTTATACCGCCATAAGCAAAGAGACAATTGCAGAAGAGAAAACGTTAAATTGAGACGTGTTCATCTTGATTGGATAATACTAAATTAGTTCTCGTTTAATAATAAGACGGTATATGTATCGAATTAGAATCTGTGATAATGTCGTATTAGAGGTCAATTCTTACAGTCGTATCTATCTGTAGTCGAGTAAAAGTAATATTTGAGTATAATAAGTAAGTTTTAATGAGGACAAATGCAAATAATTTAGACGACAATTTGTTTTTATTTAACACTTCATGCATAGAGTACATTGGTAAACTTAATGTTGAAGGCATTTTTTACCAGTCAACCAGATGGGTGATGTGTAGATTTAAGGTGTTAGAATGCACAATTGAGATATAGATAAGAAAATAAAACCTATAACAAAATACATAAACTTACATAATATATAATGTACATATATGTATAATATAGACGACTAACGGTGTAACGTTGTTCCCCGACCCCTAAACAGTTTTCTTCTATGTTCCCCTGGGAAGCAGATTTCAATCCCAAGGGGTCACTATAGAACACTTTGAGAATCCCTGATTAATTGAAATTTCCGCAGCATTAATCAACCACTCTTGTGAATGAACGGTCGACATAAGGGTTCGTCGGCTTGGAAAATGTTACCTGTAAGGTTTCAGTAAATTATTTGGACGAGTAACATTTCAATTATTCATTGATTGATTTTAGATAGGATTCTTTGATAGACATTGAAAACAGGAATCACTTTCGTGATTGTTTCGACTTTAGACCCATTACAAAAAGTATTATAAGAGGTATCCCTATGTATGTGCATCCACATAGGACACAATGTTACGAACGTTGTACTTGATTGAATTCCATTTGACATTGATTTAAAGAAGGATGGTGAAAGTGTTTATTTGAATATATAATAATTTCATTTCATAACTAATACATTTTATGACTTGCAAGTATCTGCAAGTACTGTAAGTATGTAGATCAATAGGCGATGCGTGTTTCAGTTCGGAAGGCGCTGAACAGCTGTGCGCTCGAGGTCGCTGAAATGAGGTCAAAGTCAGCGCGCAGACTCCGCTAGTCCTTTTACTTTCGATTGAACCGTCAACGCATTAATGAACCGTATTCCATTGTAATAAATGTGATGGATTATTTACATTTTGTTTAGACACTTTCATTACGTTAAAGATGTAAAAAGATTAGATCTTTAACAAACTTTTTTTGATTACATATAATTTGGATATAGATCAAATGTGCAGCATTCACATTATTGCATATTTGATGTCTATCTTAACTCGGTCGGGATTGGTGTATTTTAAAGTTGTTATCATTCTATAACTTTATTTTTGGAATATTATGACTTTTTATATATATATTGAAAGATTTATTAATTTCATTAGAACTGTTGAGCGTATCTGGTTACTTACATTCACTCGACTGTATACATCCAAAGACTTCCTCGGTCGCACAGTAGTCGAAATTTGCTCAAGAAAAATATTCTATGTACGGAACATTAGCAATAAGAAAGAGAAAATTCTCGCATCGGTGCGGTTTACTACTGTCTTTAAGCGGGGAATTCACTATGGTTTTTTGATACCATAGATACAGCATAAGTAACATAGAGCTGTAGGGAATACGTGTCTAATTAAAAAATATAATGTATTATTTTATTAATATAATTGCTTTAGAATAAAGTCTTCGTATTTTTTTATTTATTATTATTCTGTTAACAAAATGTTCATAATTATCAAATAAAGAACATAAGTGCAAAATAAAAATCAATTCTATTTGCCAGAGCGGATGTGACGATAAAACCTACGTAAAACAAATCCTTTTTTTTAATGTAACGTTTTTTAACCATTGTTATAAAACATATTATTAGCATTCTGCATTGCACATTTCTTTTTCACGTATTAATATAATGATATTTATTTTCAGGGGCAAACTATACCGCGGCATGATCGACTGTTTCCAACAATCGGTGAGGAACGAAGGTATAATGTCACTCTATAAAGGTTTTCTGCCTCTATGGATGCGGTTGGGGCCATGGGCTCTCATAAACTGGATAGCATTCGAGAATATCATGCTTGGTATAGGAGGGCGAACATTCTAGGTTAAATAGCAAAATACAAAGTTTGTTGTGAGTTGGTTTTAATATTTTAACAGTATTTACAGGCCAAGCTCAAGATACCGTTAAAATATTACTTCGAGATGTTATTACTTCGGTCACAGGAGACAATGTAGGTATTTTATCTGGCAATATCTGAGATAGTAAAACAAGAACGTAGGTATAATAAAACATAATTCTGTATGCCTTCTACTAAATCTTAGATTTCTGCTTTTTATCCTCTTTCTTCTACGGGAACGAGAAGCCAATGCAATCTCTTGTTTTCTCACTCAATGCTTTGACTACATATCTATATAATCAAAGCATAGGATTAGCACACTGGAAATGTTTAGTTCCACTGCCCACCCGTGCGCTCTAAACGATGATAGATTTTCTATTCGCAAAAAATAACATATTTCAATATCGGTTCAATAAATCGATCGGCCGGCTGACCCGATTTTCCTACGACACAATGTAACTTTAGAACATGATATGTTAAGTAAAGTACATATGTATATAGCTGTTAAGGCACTCGTATCTATAGTAAGTATAGAGTCTTCACTTGACTAATTACTAGAGAAAATGTCATAACTTAAGCAAATATTTTTAAACAATAAACGAGAATTTCAATGAAACACTGTAAGAACTGTCAGAAGTCAATAATAATATTATTCTATCTTTTGAGAGTTCTTACTTGTATATTTGATAATAATATTTGTTAAGTTATGAAATATTCTCAAGTGATGAGTATGGAAGTATTTTAAGAAAAAAAAGAGAGCACTAAAATGCACCTCGCTATATGGCGACTCTACCAAAAGTTGATTTTTGCAGGAAACGAATGGACCAAAGATAGTCATTTCTGTTCCTTTTAACTAACATATTAAAAAACTGAAATTTGCAAAGTTTGAAACTTAAATATCAATACAAATAGAATATGAGTTGTTTATAGAGTTTTGAAAATTAATTTTCTTTTATACATGAAAGAAAACCGGAAGGGATGTCATGGAGAAATCAAAAAAGTACCGTAGCGACATCTAGTTTAATTTCGGGAACTAATATTTTTTTAATACTTCTTCTTTAGGAAGGTACTTCTCTTGACTATGGATACGAGTATTAGTAAGGGGTGGCTTCAAATAATTAAGTTTATAAATTGTAATATTTTTGAACATCATAATGTTATATTGAGAGCAGGGTGTGGATAATATGCCCCTAATAATTAGGTATTTCTATAAAATTATTTCCAACTCCATATCGCTCACTGAATAGTACAGTGGCACAACTCAAAAACCATTATTTCGAGAAAACGTCACAACATTGTGGTGGCATCCCATAGATAATTTAAAGAAAAACTTAACAGTAATAATATAATACAAACGATTTAACTGTTATGCTAAAAAAATTTGATTTTCTTAATTATAAATATATAAAATTTTCATAACTTCAGAGAGCGTTTCTTGAAATATGGTTTTTGAGTTGTGCCATTGTACTATTCAGTGAGCGATATAAGGTATATGAAAGGGAACTTTGTATTAAGTTAACTGGGGAATTTGTTTTCAGAACACATAATAATGTTGATTATACAGTCAAAGGCACGTCAGGTTATACAAATTTGTCAAATTCTCCACTTGATTTTAAAACTTAATGCATTGGTGATAGAGTAGAGCTTGACGTGCAGCCGTGTACCATACACTGTTATGAGGATTAATGAACTATACAAGTATTTTCCTTTAGTTCAGAATGGTTTTGAGTACTTACTTTACGTATAAATTGTTTGTGTAAGAAATATATACCAAATAGGTTTATTTTGAAAAATTCAATCTGTTTTAAGATTCCTTTTGACGAAGTAATGAATGACAGAAAAAAATACGTTCTTCGTTTCCAATTGTAAATCAAATTGCAATGGATCTTATTCGTTATTTGATTTTTTATGTTAATAATGTTGCTTTACTACACCTTGTAACTTACTTCGCACGCGTAAATCATAGCCTATGTCACCCGTATATGAATATTTAAATTCGGGCCAGTAGTTTCGATGTCTATTCAGTGCAAACAAACGAACAATCTAATCTTTCCTCTTTATAATATTAAGTATACATATGGATATAACAATGTATAAAATACATTATCTTATATTATCTACTTAGAAGATTGTATAGTATGTTGTAAAACTAAGTAGTGGTGGAATTGAAAATGGTGCTAGAACATTATTCATTTATAATTTTCCGGTAACGATACCTATGCACAATCTTTGACAATAAACTCTGTAGGTTTTGTGTATTATTGTAATTATATTTCAAATCTACGACAATGAGACTTTGCGCATTGGTGGTTTTTACTTTATTCATCGCGACTTATTGTTTCTCTGGCTCCTGTCATTTGTCTGGAAGGCCAATAGAGATGATGCGAGAGTAAAAAATAAATTTCATTTAGTCCGTCAGTTAGATAACAGAAAAATATTAGATAATTATTTTTTTATACTTCAATTTAACCTGAAGTCATTTAGATAATATGCATTAAAGTGGGTGGGGATCGCTACGACATTATAACGTAGAAAATGTACAAAGGTGACGTCATGTGACTTTTTAACTCAATGTATTGGCCGCAATTTATTGATCACGCGAAAAATACGTCTTTAGCTATCTTCGTAACGGACAGATAGAAATAAATGTAGTCTACCATCACGTATACAAATGCACGCACCGCGACAAGGATCGTTATAGGTCGGACACTCACGCCAAGAAGCCTCGAGAACACCCGAGGCTCGCGAATGTGACGTTTCTCGGCCTCTCGTCCTTTTATATTTATTTTCACCGAGAACGCTCGTCGAGACTTCTCGGCGTGTCTGTACGGCATGGTGACAGGAAAAAGTCAGGGTGACTAAAATTAGTACTGCGTGAGTAGCCTTATAGACAACCAAGTGTTTTGTGTCACAAATACCCAGGTGCACAAATGCTAAGATTTAAAGAAGAGTTAAATTGTATAGTCGATTAAGCTCTTATGAATGTTCCAAAATTAATTTATATATAATATCGCTTTAAACTAATGATAATTTTAATGGATATTTTGCCAAATGGGTGATAGTGACTTTATTCGCAAATATTCGACTACTACTGCGATGGGCTCTTGGGCATAAGTATTCGTTTAACGAATGAACTTAGTTACGCGATAAGACCAGTTATAGGTTTTCAATGTCAAATCATCATGAAATTACATTTACTTGTATATGTAAGAATGAATAGTTAACTTAAGCATGTAAAATAAAAATAGAATGTCATAAAATAGCTGTGATGAACTATTATAATAGTACTAAACCAAGTTATAGATAGCATTATATTATTTTTATTTAAATTATTAAAATTGTTTTGTATTATTATTTTGGGTGTTTGAAATAATAATTAATTTTTAAAGGTTTTTTGTATTGCAAAATAAAAAATCCTACTATTCTTTAACAATTATAAATAGTTCAAAATTGATTTCGCAAATTAGGACATAGGCAATTGTAATTAGCAGTAAAAGTGAAATTACAATTGATATAATGAAAACAACTTTTATACGAGAGAAAACACTTTGAAAGGTTTTTGACCGCTTCTTACGATACTTTTTAGCCTAAGAACTCACGATGCGCTTTTGCCTGTAGTCGCTGCGACTGTAGGGCCGCAATGCGCGTAGTATTTGAAATTTAAGGTAGGTAAAATACCCGACATGAAAGTAAACTAAAAAAGAGCAGTCTTAAAGAAAGAAAGTAAAAAATATATGCTAATCCAAAATGTAGTTAATATATTCAAAAAAGAAGTCTATCGAAGTGTGTAAATATTGATAATCTACAGAAAACTACCGCATTTTGGGTTTACTTCAGTGCCGGGTACTGCAATACACGTTTATTATGGGAAAATGCATTTTTTTATATAAATATCTTTTTTTAATTTATATTGTTTTGCAACTATAAATATACACGGCATCGAAAACCTAAAATTAAGTAACCGAAATTAAATTATAAAAATGAGTAATTACCGCCGATTGTACCACTAAATTGTATCGATTGTCCTATTATTTAATTATAGTGTACAATAAAGTATTTATTCATTCATTAATTCACTGAATAAAAATACCCTGGAGAATTTGACGCGCTTGTTGTGACGTCAAAGTACGTGACTTTGACGTCACAATGTGATGTTTGAAATCAATATGAAATTTTGAGTGATTGATTATTATTCAATTACACACACAGAATTACGCACGTATATTCCCTATTACGACGACGCGATTTACGCGCGCCGTGTGTGTTTTTTATTATTTATTTGTCCAAAATATTTATTTTTCATGCACAAATTTTCATCATCAAACGCGCACAAAAACCCATTCGGGTTTATCCGTGGCGATGGAGTTCAGATACAATACTTCTAGGTCGCGGTTAGTGAGCGCGCTCTGCCAAGGGTGTAACCAAAATGAATAAAAGAGATATTGCCGTCGTCGGCGCCGAGAACGCCAGCAAACTTAGAGGAAAATATCGTGGCGGGCAAAAAATCGCAAGTGAGTTCTCAGGCTTAGAATATCTGATAAATTGTTTTATTAATGTACAATTAACAGTACATCAAGCTGTTTAAGCGCGATTTTATTCAGTTGAATTTAAAACGTTTACAGTAGAATTTAAAATCGATTGAATCTGTAATTTTGTGATATCTTATCGGTTTACTGTCGTTTAAGTACATCTTTTTCTAAGAACGAAACAGATGAAATGTAATTGTACTTACGATATACACAAAATATTCAATAGTTAATAGATAGTTAACGCATCGTAGAGTTAAGTAGAAAATGTATATTTTGTCCAAATATTGTTAAAATTTTATTGTTAAGACATGTTATATGTGATGTTGTTATTAATGAAATATTAAATTATTTATAATGTTGATCCAAAACTTGTGTTTTAATTATTCTATTCTCCAGCTCTAGTTATTGATAATAAAATATCTCTGTAATTTGAAAAATGGTCTATAAGGTAATCATACTTTTAAGTTAATGAGGAATTTTCATATAAATATTGTGAACAAGTTATTTTGTGGTAGTCTAAATATCCTGAAAGTAGTAGCACCTTTATTAAATCATACAATTAACAAAAAAATAGAAATTACCTTCATAAATATTATCTGATTGGTACTTAAAATTCAGGACGTCTCCGGATTTGGCAGTTTCACCATAGATGGCGTTACGGGTTGCAAACCATAGAGTTGGAAACAAACTATGACTAGTATTGAAAGTTAATGTGACTGCGGTTTTACAATGTTATTAAAACAGGTTTATATATGTGGGGCATATTCAAATAAAACACTACATACAATATTAAATTTATTAGTAAAAAATATTATACATCTTCCACAATATTGGAAAATTATAACTTAATTATTTTAAATATTTGATTATTATAGATTATAGCACTTCCGATTTCTTTAAAAACATGCCTTCATGCACTTAAACGAGACTTACAGCGAGAAGCGCAATACGGACATATACATGTTTATTATAGTAATAGAATTGGTGTATTGCAGTATTTCGTCGATAGATCGATCACAACATTATGTTTAGATGCTTCCTTAACCTATACGTACACACATTAAATGCTTTGCGGAAGGAAATCAAACAAACTTTATTACAATACGCGGGATTACCTAATTGGCCTTAACACCAGATGGACATCATATATTATCGATTCATTCATTGACTCTACAACAAACTGTTCCTAACGTAGCCAATTTGGCACAACAAACTGCTCAAGGAAAATATAGGATAACTCATAGATCTCACAGGTACGAATAGTGACAATGAGGGCTACTGTTTTCTTTCGCTCACTAGATGGCGCGACAGTCGCGAGAAGTCCTGTCAAATTTTGTTTACTACAAGATTGAAGTTAAATCATACATTATAATACATAAAAAGAACATTTTATCCAAAATATCGAACATGCCCAATAAACACTAACTTCTGATTTAGCACTGTTTTCATAACGCTTAATTTTGTACTATTTTTTTTAGCTCCATTATGGAAGCACTGACATTCGTTGACAGGTCAAAGTCAAAGTTGCTTAAATGAATATCAGGTACCCCAAAATAAGCGTAAAATTTCGTTTATTTGAAAAAAAAAAAAACGCGTTTAGTCCACCAACAGAATATGATATTTGACATTTTGAAGACCTCACGCTACATTAGCGCCTTTAGCGGTTAATTCAAACCCGTTATCCTTTATTTCTTTGAATGCGAACCTATGTCGCCAACTTGATCCAATTTAGGTCGCCATTAATGTGAAACTATAATAGATACGAGCTTACAAACATACGCAAGTTTGATTGTGATAGGCGTGGATTTTAGAAAAAAGATTGTAATACATATTTAAGAGGCTTTGCTGAAAGGTTATATTGTAAAGAGCTATAATTGATTAAAGATATATCAAGGTTTTAGGAAGAGAACTTACATAAACACGTATATTGCTTATTTTATTTCTTTGACACGACAAGGATATTCGCATTTATTCTTTGGGCGTTTCTAACCTCTTTCTGCGTTTGTTAAGAACAGTTTGTTTTCTACACTTTATAATGAAGTGGTGGCGTTAATTTCATATATTAGTAATTTTTGTCTACAATGCTTGTCAGCAGCATACATTTGACACGACAAGACATCAAACGAATCTTGGACTCGTTCGACACCATTACAAGTTTACAGCTTTTTCTTAATTTTTGAATCATAGTTAACGCAATAAAAAAAAATATGTTAGTATCAATACTGTATAAAACATCTGACACCATGGAACTTTTCAAAATCGATATGTGATTAAATTACTTGCATTGGATCATAACAACCGTAAAATGCTCTTGAAGATACAACAGATTATAGGTATTAAATATACAGTTTGCTATATGAAGATTCATCAGTTTAGAACGTTACTTTTTAAAATAATTTAATTCACATACAAAGCCGTCTGTCGTGTCTTTTCCGTCTGCGCCGGCGTCGATACATGTCGCCCATCTAACGTGTCAAGTGTCAATTTATATTTAAAATGCTTAAAAGTAGTTTCCTCAATTGTTTTTAAGATTAAAATTCTATTCATGTACGTTCCATAAATATAGTAATTTTGGGTACAATACAATAACAAAAATAAATATCTACATTGGATCAACGAGCACTCAAAGTTTTTATCCATTTCAAGTCTTGACTAAGTGTTTTACTCTAACTAAGTACAATGACACAATTCTAGTGCCAATAATTACATAATCACATCGGAATAAAGACCATAATCTTATCATTCAGGAGCCTAAACACTACCATCGTCAAAATTTACTATAAAAAAACTGTATTAATTTAATTTACATTATTCATTTTTTTAAGACGACTTCGTTTATATTCGTTACTCACTTATTAATTGATAAAAAACACTAAAACGGTAACAAATCATCAAATAAACACATCAAAAGCGATACAGCACGATGTTACACATATTTATATAATAATATTCATTGTTATAAAACCTCCATGTATGTACATTCTATCATATCAAAACATTGTCATATAAAATAATAAATTGACCAAACATTGAATTATCGGGCATCAGAATATTGTGCGTAACACAAAAATAGTCCGATCCTAATACTAGACGACCTTAGCTTTCGGAGTTACATACTACGTGACTATCGGTACCAGATTACATTTTTTTGTATGCCAAAAATTAAAAAAAAAGTTCGAAATGTATAAAATGAACTAAAAACTATTTACTTAACTAACATGTAAATGGTAAATATTTTTAAAATGAGCATTATACACTAATAAAATAGGATAAATAATGGTCATACTTTAAAAATCACATCGAGACAAAACCTAAACATGTGTGTGTATATATGTGGAGAGAGAGAGAGAGATGTCAGTTAGAACCGACTTGATCCCTTTACCTTTATATTATTACTAAATAAACATATTTAATATAAAAAAAAAAAACTACAAATAACATTCTGGCACGTAATTAAGGACAAGATTGCTGCATGGCAAATGCAACATGTCACGATTACAAAATATTGAGAGAATACAATTATAAATTCGTCACAGAACACCAAAACGCAACACTGCACTATATATATTTTTTGTACTACCAAAACATCATTTCGTATTGCATAAATTAAGGCAAATAGATCCGCCGCCGAGCGGACCGACACGTAGCTACTCTCCCTAATGGCCGTTATACACGGTGCAACTAGCTCGAGTAAGTAAACGTGCGAGCGACTGGCGCACAAAGCTAGCATTAGCACACGAGTCACTGGACCCGCACATTAGTGTCAAGTTTACACGTAAGTTTAGAATATGCATATCACCTGCGCAAGTGACGGGATGCGCATGTTACTCGCACCGTGTATAAACGCCGTAAACTAAACATCGATCGTAGGAAACGAAGCACCATGTTGTGGAAACAAACCGGGACTTGAATACGTCTTAGCGCTAAATTGACGGCCACTTCCTACTATTTACATTAACTTTTTCTTTAGGAATATTAGACTCTATTCTTTTCATAATTAATTCCCGTTTAAAAATAACGATACTTATTAATATGGGCAGTTTTTGAGAAGCGCTTGGACATGATGATATTGATAAAACAGCACCTATATATTCCTATTAACAGAAACATCCAATGTAAATAGTATGAAGACTAGATACCACGAGTGTTTAAAGAAGTCGCACTGCAATTTTTATTCGACTTCCCTAACCAATCGAAATGTGACATGAATTATTACAATAGTCACCTCAGGTTTGTGTGGCATGAAAACAACGTTAAGTGCTGCGTACACTAACGATAAAGGCGCAAGTTTAGACACGTACAAGTAAAAAGCTTGTAAAATTCATAGATCGCAAAAACATTTATACACACTTTACTCTTAGGGCGCGTTTTGGTGTACCCAAAGCATTTGGTACAGGAGGCCGTTTTCGAATACATTATACGTCACGAATTCCGTTCTCTTTGTCCATAGATAGCAGTAGTGCTCTTATTTTTTTTTTAATCTATGTATCCGTTTGATATCTTATAGCATAATCTTAGTAATGTATAAATCTTTGTATTTGGTTTCTAATATTTTTCTAAATTTCCTTTTAACTAAAAAAAATGTTTTTCAAAAGTTGAACTACTTTTTAATTTACTAAGCTATGTTGAAAAATACATAGTTAAATAAAAGATTACAACCAACAAATTAGAACACTACCAACATCTCTACAATAGGTAAACAATTCTTACATGCCTTGGCATCTCATCATTTCTTTACCATAAATTACGAATTTTAGGCTACAAAATACTTGATGGTTAAAACGCGCCCACAGATAGAGTGCGAGTGTAAACGTGCGCGCTATATCGTATACTACTCGTACGAATTATGACACCGGAAGACCTATTCTCTATTTGTTCTCGAACACAAGATTCAGAAAATTTCGTATCATTCTTACTATTTTGTTAAAATCAAATCCGTGAAGTTTATCTGTGCATCAGAAGTAATGTCAGCGTTTACCTCCGTTGCATCACAAATTATTAAAAATTTATTTGTGGTCGTATTAGTGTGTCGAAAATATACGAAATTTCGTTTTCGCAGAAACAGAATAGATCTTGACACGTTAATTCGTACGATTAGTACGTGTACGGGCGTCATTACGTACTAAGCGTCCTTGCGTAGTGATATGAGCGTACCTATACAGTAGGGTCGTGAATCGTGGGACACGTAGCGGTAGAGAGTGGTGGGCGAACGCTATAACACTATGAGTGGTACGCGGTCACGTACGACGCGGGAAATAAGCCGCGTCTCTGAGCTATCTCGCCCTGTCAAAGAAAAAAGTTATTAATATTGATTTCTTAATTTTCACGCGCATTATCCTGAAATTAATACAAAAATAACGGTTTCGTGGTGTTTGTATTTAGTTTTATCGACGTTTTGGACCCTTTACAGCATGGAACCTGTAAAGGGTATTTCATGAATATTTACAAACGAATGAATTAATGAAATACAAACGCGTTGAAACTGTTTAAAAGTTGTTTCATTTACAGTTTCATACAATGAAAAATTCTTAGTCTACTTTGTCCCTGGTACTCCGAGATTGACCTTTGGCAATCCGGGCGACTGCTCTAACCACAGAGCCACCCAAGACCTAACAAAACCGACGAATTCTTCAAGCACTTGTTTTTTTTTACTACAGAGAGTATTTTAATCTATGTTCAGGTATTACACCGAAGTAAAAAGTATAGCATTGTGAATGCGAAATTGATGAAATATAATAATAACATTAACCTTTTTCGTTAACACATCAAAATGCATATTATTTCTTAAATTAGGGCTCTTCAATCATTTCGATCTGCCTCTAGGAGCGAGTTCAAAGCGTGACTAAACTTAGAATACGGAATCCCGCAAGAACTCCTTCACATGTTTTAAGACTGGCTCTTATAATTTTTTTTATATGAAAATTGTCTGTGCATCTAAGGCAGTGTTAGGTCCTAGCTCAATTGCACCATAAATTATAGAGAATAACGGCGGTGTATTAGTATTGCGAAAATAGACGATATTTTATTTTCGGACAAATAGAATAGGCCTCTAGCCGTCATGTTAATTCGCGCACTTCACTTGTTACTGGTTTTACGAGAAAAAACTACTATAAATTTGCAAGCTGAGTAGCACCGTGTGCGAAACTCAGGCCTTCCTTATGGATGGTTAACAAGAAATGGGTTATAACCCTCCACGCTGGCCTAATGCGGATTGGAAGATATTGACAAAGGCAAATGCAACCGAGGCCAATGGCTTAACGTGCCTTCCAAAGCACGGAGTCGCTAGAGATAATAATTTTTTGGTCACCCATCCCGTGACCGGCCCTTGCAGTTGCTTAACAACGACGTTTGCAGGTCGATGCGCTTATCCACAACACTGATATATTCTAAATTAAATTACTGTTACGGAATAATAAATTTCATCACTTTTAAGTAACTTCGTTTGAGATGAGCATAAGTAATTTCTTAGCCTAAGACCGAAATTGGTAGGTTTGGAGCAATATAACAGCATAACTATAGTTTATATATCGCACACCTAGATCTAAACTAAGACAACTCAAAAAACTAATGTGGAGGTCTGACAATACATTTGTTTACGTGGCAGGAACGCGACCACTGTTGATTCGACAAAAGAAAGCTAAAGTTATCTAGCGGCTCATCCCCGAACCTTTATTGAATCTGTTATTTTGGATAGATGCGTATGATCACCGAGAATTGGAATATTGTACAAAGCCAAAACTCACTCAAATTTTTGAGTTGTCTCAGTTTAGATCTAGGTGTGCGATATATTCTCTGACGTTGTTTACATGTCATTCTTATCACAAATCAGAAAGTGAATAATTGTTAACAATGAAACATCAATGTATGTTTAATCTAAAAACATCGATTTGTTGAACAAGTTTCCTAGAGATAAACATTATTATAATAACCAATATAGAAATGAATTATGTGTCGGCCAGAGCACAAAGGTTCAACGTATTTAATACATATCTACTTCTTATCTAAAATAAATAACTAAAGTGTGTAATTTTTTTCATATTAAAGTCTTTAGCAGTCCATTTTTCCAGCTAAATCTTATAGGATAAAATATGAAACTAAATCTTATTGGATAAAAGTGAATCTGAATAAGACAATGGATTAATTACCAGCCTTATTTTCAATGCAGCATTAAACACCCCGAGAAGGGGTGACATTCTATTTTGTATTAAAATTGTATTTTTTTGTAATAAAGGTAAGCTATTGAAGTAGGTTTATTTTAATACAAAATAGCACTGCTAGGCTATTAATGCTAGGTAATAAAGGTAAGCTATTGAAGTAGGTTTATTTTAATACAAAATAGCACTGCTTGGCTATTTTAATACAAAATAGAATGTCACCCCTTCTCGGGGTGTATAATGCTGCATTGAAAATAAGGCTGGTAATTAATCCATTGTCTTATTCAGAGTCACTTTTATCCAATAAGGTCTAGTTTCATATTTTATCCTATAAGATTTAGCTGGAAAAATGGACTGCAAAAGACTTTAATATGAAAAAATTACACACTTTAGGGAACAAGTAGAAACTGTGGTCTTATTCTACCACAATCATATATAAAGTGGAAGATTATTATGTGCCAGGAATTCGTTGTGTGGTTTAGGTAAGTATACGAAAATATAATCAGCTATTTTATACTGTTGACGATAACAACTTTGTATGAAACAACAATTTTCGCGAATTCAGTGTTGCTCATATAGTGAAAGTTGTTCAGTATACTTATAACTCATCCAACCACTAAGTCCTGGCATATAATAATATTTTACCTACTATATCAACTGTAACTTTTATTTGACGTTAAACGGAATTGTCTAAGCTAAGCGATTACAAATATTTTTGAAAGTTATTGGGAAATGTCAAACGAAATGAATTACCTATGACATTTATATTATTCAAATTATCATTCGTCCTAAGAGCGATTGTGACCGTAAAAGTAACGTAATTTCGTAAATTACTATCACAATATATACTATACGTTTAAAATGGATTGTGTTAGATTTTAAATTAAGACAATCAGACCATTGAATCAAAATTTTTGAAAAATCCTTGCTTCTCCATAGAAAACGTCAAAACTATACAATTTTGCCTTCATTGACTGGACAAACAAGGAAAAATGTACAGGTTGTTGAAGTAATACGTGGTATTTAGGTATGAATATGTATTTCATAACGCCCCATGAGCTCTGATTGGCTAACCGATACACATACTCGGTTAAATTAAAAAAAAAACAGGAAACTTTACTAATATTGCATGAATCAATCGCGTTACCAAGAATATCTAATTCATGTTTATTCATGATAATATTATCACTATTGATACCATAATACCGTTTCTAATATGAATTAATTTACAAAATTTAATTTTGTATATACTGTATATTTTGTATATATAATTTTGTGAATACTTATTTAAACTTTCTGTTTATTAGATAGAAACCACATTAATATTTACATTTGAATATTTTATTACAATTATTGTACAATACTGTGAAGTAGGTGATGTTATTCATATAAGTTGTCCGTTAGATAAAACAGAATTTCTTGATTGAATTGCTTATGTGTATAGCACGTAAATATTAAGTAATAATGCAGATTAATTGTTACTGCTGTACTTTCATGTTACACCTACTAATAGGGATGACGACTAATTTTTATTTGTTTGTCGGTTAAGTATAGTGTTGAAAAATATTAAAAATGTATTTTTTTCGTATTCATAAAATTACGGTGATACAAGGAGTTGAAATTTCGCATGACGTCACGTTATGGTAAGTTTTCTACAAAACTGTGACGTAGCGAGCCCCCACTCCTCAACTTTAATGCATTCTCGTTAAATTAAAGTAAAAAAAAATACGTATCTAATATTTTTCTATTTTCTTACTGACGGATTAAATAGAATTGCATTTCTTTTACCCAGTCGTCATCCCTATTATATTAGATTGTATAAGACGGGTATTAACGAGATAGATTTCGATAGTTAGGTTTTTCATCTACCTATATTTCCTGACGTTTCGACCAGGTTACACCACTGCCGGTGTAACCTGGTCAAATGCAACGCGAAAGTTTAAAAGTTTCTACACCTACTAAGTTAGGTATAAGACGATCAGACAAGATTCGTTTTAAATTTAGACTTGTACAAAAAATACTTTTTATTATATTGGATCAATTTTTCATGCACAATATACTGGAAAATATTAATAATGACAAATGTTTAAAAAAAACACTTTGTCCCTAGGTTCAAGTACTTGTTACTTTTTCGCTGCTACAGAGCGTATTTTCAAAAAATTCTTAATGAAATATGCTTTAAAAAGCCACTTTGTCCGTGTCACTCTGAGATGGGACTCGACCTCATAACCTTTTCATTAAAAATGTTTTTATTAATGACTTGCGATTTATTTTGCAAGACTTTTTGTCTTCCTCCTTAATTCCTCTTATCTAGTGGTTCCTATGAGTATAAAGAAAAATAATGTCATTCCAACATTCAAATGCTATCATCTTCGTTTTGTTTTATCTTGGCTTTTACGAATAGTCTTAAGCGGTCTCAAGACGATACTGCGGCATGTCATGTGTTTACGTGAATTAACACGCTGCATCAATTTTCTTTTTCAATCACTTCTAAAGACATTATTTTGAAATAAAGAATTAAAAATCTTTTGGTGCAGATCTGAAGACATGCGTGCTTGTAAGTAATAGAATAAAGGGAGTTGTCAATCAACTGCCAGCATGTACTTTACATGTCATTCACATTAATCAGTTCAATTACACGGTCATGTCTTGTTCTTGGTAAATCCATATATAAAGAAATTTGAAATAAAAACTTTTTTGGTTGAATGTATTTACATTGTCTAATGGTCTCCTATGTGAAGTTTGCTGAACTATGGTTGACGCAAAGAGTCATTAAGAGATAAGAAGAAGTACACGGTCATGCATGCATGACAGCACGTAATGCATGGCCTGCCGCCTAATCGTCTAGGGATCGCTCAAAGCTTTCCCTGATGAAGACTGGTGCAAATGACATGGTGCAATCAATACAATTATACAGTCATGCACGCATGACAGCATGTAATACATGATACAAAAAATTCGTATCATGTATGCACATGCATGACAGCACGTAATACACATGATGCTGCGTAATCGTCAAGATACCGCTTTGCAGCCGTCGATGAAAGACCGTTTCGCCCACGCTACACTACGCCACTGCACTGAGGAAAGTTACAACAGATTCTATACTATATTCTACATTGTGTACCTGCCACCAATGTTGATCGGAGCGATCGGTGACTGTGATGACGTCACCGCGCCTGAACTCTAACTCGCCCGCCTCCTGCGGCGTGAAGTCATATAGCGCTTGCACCAACATCTGTAAACGTAAATGGATTCTATTATTATTATTAAAAAATAATGATTTATTAAAGGTTAAACCTGGTATCAGACTTGATACTTATTTAAATTTTGCGCATTAAAATTAAGCATCTAATGGGCAGTTGCACAAACGTCCATTAGGGTTTAATGACGCCTTTAAGCTCTAATGAATGTCAAATTTGTATAGGTAATGTCGCTTTAGACTAATGTCAATTTTAATGGAAGTTTGTGCAACTGGCTGTAAGTATCTTAATTTTAGGGATTACTGCCTTTATTTTTCTAACAAGAATACTTTAAGTTTAGACTGTGATAAAACCTTTTGAACTTTCGCGTTATATTGTACCTAATGTAAGCAAAGAATTCGTCAGTGGTTACTGGGTGTGAATTACAGAGAAACAGAAAATATTATCTTATAGATAGAAAATAATGCTTTAATATAGAGAAAAAAATAAATAATAATGGTAAAATATATATAAAAAGATATATAGTACAATGAATAATAAACACACATACACACACACACACACACCCACATACCAACACAATCATATAGGTATAATTTTTGTAGATAACTTGTATAAGTTTTTATTTGGGGTGGTAGATACTGGCAGTTGTATCACAGTTCATACTTCTACAGCTGTCAGCGTGATACCGTGTAAAATTAAATTATAAGTTGTTTTGTATTCTTTTGTAATTTGGTATGTATAAGGAATTGAAATAAATTATTATTATAATTATTATCCTCCTGATACTCGATGATAACTTGTGAAGTCCCGCGATCCAGATTTTACTAAGACAATAGTCGTGTTATAAATCTGTTTAGGATAGCTGGATTTTTAAAAAACAGTCACCTTATAAATAACCTTATATGGATAAGGCGAATCTTTGATTTATATATACTTTATCAGACAAAGCCCACGTAAATTAATTAATTAACATAATAACACTACGTCTATAAGCGAGGAGATTAATTGGATCAGTCCAATTAATGTAACGCAGCGAGTGACCGATTTATTTCATTCATACATATTCATAATGGGGAATTTAATTAGGCATTACGCCACTTATGTTACAACTTAAGTGCCAATTTAAATATTGTGACAATGTTAACAGAAACCAGTCTCAATCAAACGATGCTAGCGGAGATATTTGTAGAAGTTAAAATATTTCGTTAGTTTGTTACTGAATATGTAAATAAAGTTATTCGGTAATACGTGATCTTTAATAATTTAATTTGGTCTTCGTTTACTTTTGCATTTTATAATACTTAATATTTAGCATTATTATATATTTATAGGTGACATTCAATTTATTCACTAGCGAAGCATTTCAATGTCACTTTGCTTAATTTTGCATGTAATATAGAAACTTTCAGTCGATATTTTTATTTGAAAATTCCAAAAATAATATCCGTTTGTTCATATTTAATTTACATTTTGCGTGCACTAATCATTGACTGAAATCGTATATCATTCATTATCATTAATAAAACAACAATAAATAATGAATAAAAAAAACAAATATTTTAATTAGAGTTGCTATAGTTAGGGTTATGTGCATTACCTGTGGACGTCTTTCTGAATTTAGAATAAAACTATTATAACTTAACTCTTTATAATAAGCAGTCTTAAGTGTCTCATTTTGTTTACAGGTACAAACATTGAATGTACCTATAAATATGACCAAAAGTACCTTTGGAAAGTATAGTGTACCTATGGACAGATTATTTAAATATCGTCAAACTCGTATACTAAACAAATATTAAGATACAAACACTTTAAGAAGTTTAGTTTTTTAACATTACAAATATAAATCTTTAGAAAAATAAAATTAATTTTATAGACTAGTCATGAGACAATAAAATTATCAATCGAATCTAAGCCCATATGCATACGTGGAGCTTCTTCTAAGCATTCATAGAACTGAATCACTTTATTCTCTTCAAATACCTTCTTCACATCTTTCCTCAGAGCTCTAAAATCTGTGTTATTAATATCATTGTTTTTGTTTATTAGATAACATTTGAAAATAATACACTTTGGTATTTTGTATTTCTCAACAATATTAGGTATCGAACTCTACTTATGACTTCTTTGACTGCTTGTATAAGAGCCTCTGAACATATTTTATTACGATCCACACTAGTTTCACTACGAAGTTATTGAAAAAATTAATATTAATATATAGTGTACAATTCAGAGTACGTACCTATACACAGTCCACAGGTACAATATTATTTTGTACATAGGTGCAAATAAAACGGTTATAACCTTTAAATTCCGAGCTTAAAAAACATCACGCATATCTTTGGAGATTTAATACCAATCCAAAAACAACATAACACATTATGTCATTCATATAAATTTGTGCTTGTATGTTACATAGAAACTAAACAAGATTAATTATTTTAATAAACTATTTTTTGAACGGCGCCCTGACGCAAACATTTGAGGTCAAGCAAAATGGTAACACGTCAGGATTACCAAGAGTCAAAAATACTTAAAGTACTGTTCGAGTTAGAAATTTTTGATATTTAGTTTTCGAGTTATCGAGGGTGTCCATAGGTAAAGCCGTCCAAAGGCACACACTTGACCCTACTATTTTATTGGTAAATTTTGAAATTTTATTCACAAAAGATACCTTTCAAAGTCAACGATACTATTTTTTTCTCATAACAGGTATATTTAGTTAGTTGTAAATAAAACCTGAAACGAGCTATTTTACAGTAATAATTTACTCAAGTGCGGGCACCGATCCCCACAATACCTAATGTCAATGCCCTAAATAAAATAATTGTATGTAATTAAACTTTTTGTCGTATTTACACAATGGAAAGAATAAAGACATTATTATTATGGCGGAGTTTTACTGAATTTGGTTTATTGAAAAAGTTTAGTGTATGTGTGTGTAGTACGAGGGTCAAACTGAAAGTTCTTAGAACTGGCCACTTATAAACAACATAATAAAAAAATAATTCTAAAATTTGAAAATATAACTCTTTGCCAATATTACTGAGTATATATTTCATTCATTTGTCATTTGTTTTACGATTTGGCGGCAAATTGAAAATTGTCTGTGTCACGTCATCATGAATTTAACACGAGAAAATTTTCGTGCAATGATTTTTTATGACTTTCGATGTCATTTAAGTCAACAAGAAAGTTATGATAGACTACGATTGGCCTTTCACGATGAAGCCCCATCTCGTGCGACTGTTTACAACTGGTTTAATGAGTTTAAACGTGGTCGCACTAATCTCACTGATGATTTACGTGAGGGACGGCCTTCTACGGCGACGACTGAAGATAACATCTGTGTTGTGCGGCGTATGATAGAGACTGACAAAAGAGTGACCTATCAACAGATTCGGACAAGCTTAGGCATCGGTATGAGTCAAGTGCACAAAATCCTCCACGAACATTTAGCGGTCAGGAAGCTTTGCGCCCGGTGGATACCTCATAATTTGACTGAGGCTCAAAAACTCCATCGTGTGGATTGGTGTCGTAAAATGATTGAAAGATTTAACGGAGGTGACTCAAATGCTGTGTTCGACATACTAACAGGTGACGAAAGCTGGATTTACTGTTATGATCCTAAAACCAAAAGACAATCTGCTCAGTGGGTGTTTCCTTTCGAGGAGTTGCCAACTAAAGTGAAGAGAGATCGAAGTGCGGGAAAAAAAATGGTGGCCTCGTTCTTTGGAAGGATAGGTCATTTTGCAACAATTGTGTTAGAGGATCAAAAAACAGTTTCTGCAGAATGGTACACTACCAATTGTTTGCCACTTGTCTTGGAAAAAGTTCGAGAGAAACGACCTCGCAGTAGGATCCTCCTTCACCACGACAACGCCTCGTCGCACACCGCCAAGCGAACGATCGACTATTTGGCGACATCAAACGTTGAATTACTGGGTCACCCGCCGTATAGCCCCGACCTCGCGCCTTGTGATTTTTATTTATTTCCAAAAATTAAAGAAAAATTTAAAGGAAAGCGGTTTATGAATGCTGAAGAAGCGGTGGCTGCGTATCGCGATGCCATTGAAGAGACCCCTAAGGACGAGTGGGCAAAGTGCTTTTCCCAGTGGTTCCATCGCATGCAGCGGTGTATTGACGTGAATGGACAATATTTTGAAAAGATATAATAAAACTAATAACTGGCTAATGTAATCAGTTTTTGATTTTCTAAGAACTTTCAGTTTGACCCTCGTATTGACTTGAAGCGAAACATGGTCGTTCACAATAGATCTCATAAGAAGGCTTAACTTCATCCAGCGAGCAATGCAGAGAGCAATGCCTGGCATTTCTCTATAAGAAAGATTTTTAGGAAAACCAACGTTACTGGAATGGCTCCTTCCTAATAGACTACTTTTTATTTTAAAAATTAATAGTTCAATTATATCTGAGAAATAATGTAGAAGTAACAGCATGTCTGCGATTAATAGTTTGGGAGATATATGGTGCTATGTTTGTGGAACTACTGCTGGTCAATCGAAAATGCTCCATACAAATTGTATACTCTACTGACGGCACGCCTTTCTACGGTAGCGAAAAACTTATGAGCATCTGGGCAATATGTTTGTTTTTAGTGCGTTTTTGTTTATAGTTGTTATGTAACTGATTTAATACAACATGAATTTAAGAAAATTTTAATAATTTATTTGTACTACGATTTTAAAGTTTTCAAAGCGTAAAATTTTCCAAATTCTAGTACACTAAAATTTGTTTTTAAATATTTATAAGTTACTATGGTTTATACTTAGAGAACATAACACAGAAATCTGTATTTTCAATTGGGATGAATACTAATTATTGGTTGTTTGTCCGTCAGGTAGAAAAAGTATTTTTTTCATAATCATTAAATTACGGCGATACACTGAGTTAAAATGTAACCTCGTCAGATACATTGAGTTAAAAATGTAAGGTCACGCTTTGGTAAATTTTCTACAAAACTGTGACGTAGCGAGGCCCCGCTCCTAAACTTTAATGCCTATTAACTAAG